CAGAAGCAGAGATTGCAAAGTGCTTTAATAGAGCAAAATGCAAAAGGAACAGAAAAATAACATGAACTTTAAATCAACCAGTGTACATAGGTAAATATATACATGCAGGTAAATGTTCTTGTATTGAATAAGGATATAAAAAAAACTTTAAATACATATGCAGTTTATAAGCAGTACAGATGTAAAAGAAGACACTAGAGCTGCAGCAGTTAATCAACTGAAAATCAGTAACTATCTTGATCATCAAGAATTTTTAGCCATTTTGTAAGCAACAATGCCAAACATTGGTGGATTTCAGCTTCTCAAATGTAAGGACTTGATGCTTTTCTTTGTTGTACATGATATTAAACTGAATGTCTTTGGTTCCTGGATGACTGATCAGACAAAGCAAGAGATCTGAAAATGTCATCTTGGACATTTTGCAGGCACGAATAATCTATTAATCGGGAATTTAATCTGCACATTCACTGATACTAAATATGTTTACAACCCTGGAAGAGACTGACTTTGCAAGTAATTTACCTAAAGTTACTAAGAGATCAGGATTGCAGGACAGTTATTTTCAAACCACAATTTTTCCAGAGCTTAAGTTGACAGTTTTTAAATTGCTTATGTCCAACTACAAACCCAAAGCCTTAAGGTGTTTAGTTAGCTATCATATAAGACTGTGAAAAACAAAGTATTAATATATTCAAAGCTGGAATCAGTCGATGTTGGGCATTTCTGTCAAACTAGGCTAAACTATTACTCGATTAACAATACCTCTACTTACAAGCAATAAAACAGCCAGTCCTCCCAGCCAGGTGTGGTCTTTCCAAACACTCTTTACAGAGTTATATCAATAAAAATAATAGATAAGGATATTGGCTTTATGTTGAAAAGTCCTGAATGCCCCATAGTGCAGTGATGAGGCTGAGCAGGTCGAGACAACGTATGCTGAGACAAGCATATATTGATAGTACACTTTCATCTCTGTGTACTTTGTACTTCCTCAAAAGTTCCTTCTGTTACATGCCTGGACAAACGGACAAGGAACTGAAGGCTTGCTTCAGTAAACGTGGTGAAATGTAGCATGAGCTAAGATTGTCCTCACCTCTCTCAGCAGTAAACACTGCTACTGGTGGAGTATTCCTCTTTTTATTGACCCATTTAAGCTTGAACACAGCACATCAGGAAACTGGGTAACTTCACTGCGTATACAACTGTAATGCTTTATATAGAGAGGTGATTGTGTTATTTCTGTTATGGAGTGCATTAACTTAAGTTTGTTAGGCACACCTAAGTAAACTGTGCACAGACAGGTGACAAGTTAAAGAAAGAACCTGAATAACCCCATTTATCCACAGGGCACCAGGGGTCACTGAATGGTTTGAGGAAGAGAATGATGTGAATCATCTGCTATGGCCTTCACAGTCACTAGATCGCATTGCATTGTAAAGATATTATGCATGGGAGTTTATATCATCCATGAGAAAATACTGAGCTTTGTCAAAAATTGGTGGAGGCTATACCATTGGCTGTTTTTAAAACAGTCTGAAGATTCAGTATGTCTGCTCCCTGTGTCTCTGTACACAAGGGCATGTGCTGGTGTAGAACAGTTACATGGAGAACTGTCTCCTCCCACACACTCCTCTTACACAAGTGGAAAGGAAGGTCACTCATATTTCCCCTGCAGAAGGCTGGCACACTTGTGTTTACATTTCAGTCCCTACACCCTCATCACTATAGCAACTCGTTTTCTTATTTTGTCATACTGTGTGGGTGTTTTTCAGTCATTTCTCTTTGTGATGTGCAGAAATAAAACCATGCTTGGCTAAATGATGGAGCTGGAGAACTTGAGGAAACTATTAATATTGCTAGTCTTCTCAATTTGTCATCCTGAAGTACAGCTCTGGGGGGGTGGGGGTTTGTGGTGGCACCAAATGGCAGCAAGTAGCAACAGTTTGCGATCAGATGGCTTAGAGATTCAGAAAATCTTGGAAGCTAGCAGCAGTAAATTTTTGTGTTCCTTGGCGGTAGTTGGTGAGTTGGACTTGGTTATGGTGTGTCAGTTCTGAACTGAAGATGTCTGGCCAGTTTGTACAAACACCAGACTATACATTTTTCGTGATAGACTTTCTGTCATTACATTTAAACCTCAGTGTGCTTTAATCATCAAGAATCGGGTTCATGTAACTCCACAGCACCTGAAGGCAACACACATCTTTTTGTTACCATTTTAATACATTTAAAACAATACTTGGACGACAAGTTTTGGGAGTTAAATTTGGCATGGAAGATGCATGTTTTGACACTAGTGTGGGAATTCAGAATATCTCCGACTGAGTATGAGGAAGTAGACACAGCTACTAAGCCTGAAAGAGCCTGAAATTCTACAGCAGACATGTCTGTACCTGGACTGAGTTCCTTGGTATGGAGGAGGTGTCTCATCACAAGCAGGATTTTGGTTTTACATTTGTATTGAACAATTAGTCTGTTGGATGTAGACACACAGATTTTTACACATGCAAAACAGCAACTCCTTTCATTAGTTCTGTTTGTTATTTAGGTAAAAATAACTCGATCATCATAATAAAATTCCAGGCAATGTGGCAGACTCTCAAAACACACACCTGAACCTGTCATCTGCTTAAAACTTCCATTTCAGCACAGTTAAAAGAGTAAACAACAATCCAGTGTTCTCAAACTGATACAGATCCATGAACACGTTTTGCCTGATGATGGAGATTAAATGTTGGGCATCATCCCTTGAGGAAAGGCTAGAAAACATGCATAACACCATATTTTTCTCATTTGATCTCGTTATACCAAAGGCCATCTGGGTGTTCTTTCTTGTTTATATCTGACCATGCGCAGGAGTGCCTTTTTCTTGATGTTGATAGCTGATGACCAACACATACTTGTGAAAAGAGTAGATTTAGAAAAGCTGCAATAACAACAGAAGCACTGTAGGCAGCAGAGTGTCATGGAGGGGGGTAGTATAGCTGAGAGACACCACGTCCTGTCCCATTTTCACTTGACTTATCAAACAATGTGTAAAATCTTAATCCTTGAAACAAAGAGGTTGTGATTCAAGCTCTAGCCCACAGTACAGCACATTTTTATTGTCCCAGCTCTTTTAAAGATTTCTTTATACTTGACACAACAATAGTAAAACATGTTTATCTTCATCTGGACGTACAGGTTTTGTCATCAATTTCCCTCAGTGGCATGGTGTGATCATATACAATTTCACTCCATAACTTTGCTGACCTGCTATATTGTGGACCCCGTTTTTGAACTCAAGTGAACTGTCATTGAGCTAAATCGATGTCTGGGTTCAAGCAGGCTATTGGAGAAAAATGTTACAAATCAGCTAAGTAGTTGCTCTTGAGTAAAGTCAAAGCATAATTGGTTTTATTGGCCAAGTATGTTGAACGCACAGGGAATTTGATTCCGGTACAGTGGCTGTCAATGTGTTTTCAGAAGGCAACAAGAAAAATTGTGTGTATTCAAAATAGGAAGAAAAAGAGTAGGGCAGGGAAGCTCCTCCTGAAATCTACGGTCACCTCCACTGTTCAGCGTATTCAGCTCCAGGTTGTTGTGACTGCACCACAGGTGTTCAACCTCCTGTCTGTATGCAGACTCATCACAGTCTCAGGTGAGACCGATGACCATTGTGTTGCCTGCAAATTTAAGAAGTTTAACGGAGGGGCTCCCCTGAGGTGCAGTCATTTGTGTAGAGGGAGAGGAGCAGTGGGGAGAGCATACATTCCTGGGGGGTACCTGTGCTGGATGTGGTTTTCCCCAGGCTCATCTGTTGCTTCCTGTCTGTCAGAAAGCTAGCGATCCACTAACAGGCATGGGCAGGCATAGTGAGTTGGGTCAGTTTGGAGTGGAGGATGTTTGGGATGATGGTGAACGCCAAGCTGAAGTCCACAAAGAGGACCTGTGTATAGGTCCCTGGGGCGTCAAGGTGTTTGAAGGATGTAATGCAGATCTTCTGTGATTTGGAATTCTGTTACCCCTCCTACACGTTTGTTCTTGACAGATACTGTCGCAGCCTCTGTTTTGTGCTCCCCTGTTTCAGAGGCATATTTGCCACGTTAAGATACTGCTATTGCGAACTTAACATTTCCTGCTGTTACTACTTCACATTAAAAGCTTTCCACTGGCAAACCACAGGAAGGAAACACCATTTATCCCTGAGGCAAAGGCCTCGCTGCTGCTGGTCAGTAAAGCATGGTCTGCACAGCAAGATATAATTTTGATTTTTCTGTTCCTTTCTGTCAGCAGTTCATTTTAAAATATTTCAGAGGTGATGGTTAAGTGACGGGTGCTTAGTGCACTTTGGGCAAAGCAGCAAATCTCCATTCTGTTTTTTTGTGAACTTAACAGCATGCAGGCTTTAGCACTAAGCACAACTGCCGGTGGTACAGCTTGGTGTGTTATCCCAGCATTATGGAGAAGATGAATCTGTAAAGACACTGCACTACACATTTTAATAGATCTCTCTGCATGACTAGAACCTGGAACTTTTATGCTCACACTAACGGAAAATCAGACTGTGAAACTGCTCAAACTGCCAAGACAGGCAACCAAAGTTCCTGAAATGCCAGAAATCCAGCTAATCATCCAAGAACCAGATCAGAGATTATTCAACTGATTAATCTGATGTCATGACAGCCCCAAACTACACATCAAACAGCAACCAGTTTTTCAGTAATTTGGTCCAATTCTAAAAATAGCAGGTGGCGATCTAAAACTGGGTCAACCACACAACGTCTACCCAGGTTTATAGGCAGCGTTATGTTGATGTGTGTCACTGCCAACCCATTCTGTTGTGTAGCAGAGGATGTGGGTATCAGTAAAGATGAGGTTCAGCACAGAAGGGTCTGTGCAAAACAGGAAGGTAAAGTTGAGCATCACTCTTTCAAAGGAGATGCCCGGGGTAATAATGGAGAAAATGTGTTTTGGTAATGCTACACTGAGTTTTTTTGTTTTGTTTTTAAATAACCCAGCTCTGCCTATGACCGGGACAACAAGATACGTGTGGCCATAAAAAAGATCAGCCCTTTTGAGCACCAGACGTACTGTCAACGCACCCTGAGAGAGATCAAAATCCTTCTGCGCTTCAAACACGAGAACATCATCGGTATCAATGACATTATCCGCACACCAACCATTGACCAGATGAAGGATGTGTATCCTTTTACCTACACTTTACTTAACTGAGACATGGTGTGACTGATATTTCAGGATGGGTCTTAATGGCATTAATAATGTTCTGGCATTTGAAGTTGTTGTGCCAAGATATTTGCGTTTGATTTTTTTTTGTTTCACAGTTACAGCATTTGTACTTTTTGTTCTGATATAAATTTTTGATTTTAAATGAAATGTTCATGCCTCGGTCTTACACTCAGTCTTACACTCCAGCATTTGCAGTGGAATACAGGATTTCAGTTGAAGTTATTACATAATAGCCACCTGTCACCATATATTTGGCAGGGACCCTCCTCACTGTAGCCCAGCAGCAACAGTAACAAACCGGTTGAGTCCATATTCACTGTCAGTTTCATAATGCAGTGCATGTAGTTGTACAGGCAGCCTTACCTAAAAGACTGTGACTGAAGCCTACAGCTGCTCAGCTCACTGCTTCCTGCTTGCCAGAAAATGTGAGCATTCACCCAAACAATAACAATACACCTTCCAGGGTGAAAAATAGCTTTCTTCGCAAGAAAAGAGCATTTCTTTACTAGAACGTATTTCAGGTTGGGCACACATTGGTTAGACCTGTTATGAAGTATCTTGCAGAACAAGTTCATCACACCACCATGACACCTGAGAAGTTGGCCACACAGGTTTGTCTTTTTCCTGGCTCAGCCAGCCGACTGTCACACCACAATCAAACTAGCTGTCCGAGTTAAATGATGCATGGCTTTATGTGTATTTATATTTATATATATATATATTTATTTTGTTAATGCTAACAAAACAAATTTCAGTGTGCCACTGAAACCTAAATGTGGTTTGAATGCGGGGGCCAAAAGTCCACAACATCAGTAACAATAACATATATCTTATTAAATTCATCTATGCTCAAGATTGTCCTCACAGTGAAGCTCTTAAGTCTTTCTACTAAAAATAAACATAAAATTGTGGATTGTGACCGAACCTGGATAGGACAAAGTAAAATATTTAAAACATTGCTCATTATGAACATAAAAACAGCTGTTTCCATGATCTTCTTTAACCTGGAGACATGCAGATATATTGTCCAGGATCTCATGGAGACAGACCTGTACAAACTCCTGAAGACTCAACATCTGAGCAACGACCACATCTGCTACTTCCTCTACCAGATCCTACGAGGGCTTAAGTACATCCACTCAGCCAACGTCCTGCACCGCGACCTGAAGCCCTCCAACCTTCTGCTCAACACCACCTGTGACCTCAAGGTAGTGTCTGAAAGAGAAATAATGTCTGTCAAACACACATCTGTGAAGGATTTATTAACAAAAACAAACGTACTAAATGTGCGAACAAGCATTTCATTACACATTACTGAACTTGCCATGTATGAGGAGGACCGCATGAAGACAAATATAAGCACATAGCACCCCCCCAACAAGTGCAAAACAGTCCTGCAAACCATGATCTCATTTCCTCTGCTGCATTGCCTCACTCGTGCTTCTGCAGATCTGTGACTTTGGTTTGGCTCGTGTGGCTGACCCTGACCACGATCACACTGGGTTCCTAACAGAGTATGTGGCCACTCGTTGGTATCGAGCACCTGAGATTATGCTCAACTCCAAGGTGAGTGTCCTCACCTGCTGTAAAATGTTAACACTGTTAACAGTCAGAGGCAATGTTTGCTTCTCTTTGTTTTTCTACCTGGATATTTTAACATATGGCCAGGGCACATGTTTTGGGTTCAGACCTCGGGCCTGCATTTTATTTGAATATGTTCCAAGCATGTCGACTATCAGTCTAATTTTTAGACTGAACCCAATGCTGTTTGCATCCATGTTGTGTTAATGCCACCAATTGTGCATCAATGATTTTAATATTGACTTTAAATATACTGTATTGTAGCCATGACTGTACCTTTGTGACCCTTATTCTCAGGGCTATACCAAGTCCATAGACATCTGGTCAGTGGGTTGCATCCTGGCTGAGATGTTGTCAAACAGGCCAATCTTTCCTGGGAAGCACTACTTGGATCAGCTCAACCACATTTTGGGTAAAAATGTCTTTTATATCCAGCCTTTCTAGGATTGTTTGCTACTATAGTATTGTCATAAAAACAGTCTGTGAACCCTAAAGAACTGCTCAGTTGCTATATGTTTTTTGTCATTTATTACAGAGAAGGTTAGATGTTTCTTGTGGAAAAAAAATGTTGGACATCTTCATTAATATTTGTGATAACGTGCAAGTTACCAAAGGCTTAAGTGGACAAATGATCAAACCTTCTATCATTTGTGTAAATTTTGCTTTCAAGTAAATTAGATTCTATCAACAAGAGGGTGGTTTCAGAACATTTTAGAGTTTAAAGGTTTATTCCAGTCACATTTTAAATTTATTTTTATAAACAATATGCATTTCTTGATAAATTTTAATGATTTTCAGTTTTTTGTTACATTTTACACAGCGTTTGGAAATGGGGTTGTAAAAATCAGTACCTTTTTATGTGGGAAATGATGCATATACTGTTTGTAAAGAAATGTTTTCTTTAAGTTGATGCCATTTCATTTTACATAAATGGTTTGATAACTTTAGGCTTGAACTAAAACTTCACACACAGTCAGTAGCTGTAGCTTCCTGGTGCCAATCCATAGATACTGTAGCTGTTAATATTTATCAAGTCATGCTTTCTGTGTCTGGGTGCTAGACCACATATTGGTTCTCCCATCTGTTACATTGTTGTATGTTCTGACTTGTAATTTTTGCTTGAGAAAACTTCCCCACATAATTGAAGACTTAACTGCAAATAAGCAGACATTGTGTTTTAATTAGAGTGGTGCATTTGCCAACTGTCATACACAGTATCAGAAAGTACTACTTTACAACCTTCTGTTTATCCTTCAGGGATCCTGGGTTCACCCTCTCAGGAGGATCTCAACTGCATCATCAACATTAAAGCCAGAAACTATCTCTTGTCACTCCCTTTGCGCTGCAAAGTGCCATGGAACCGCCTCTTCCCCAATGCTGATCCAAAAGGTCAGAGCCTGGGCAACATCTACATCGATAAACACGGTTCCTACACATCGTTTCTAGAATATTATAAATACTTGAGACTGCACTTCAGACAGGGGAGGGCCAATCAAAAATATATATATTGTTTTACCTTTCAGATTGTTTGACATCTATCTGGCTTCTTTAAAAAATAATAAAAACAGCTCATCTGTTGAAATGTCAACTAAGTAGATACTAGTGATAGGGTAGACAGGGTCCTGGATGAGACTGAAGGTGCAGCTGAAGCCATACAGATTTCTAGTTAGTTTGGCAAGTTGCTGGACATCTGAAGAAGCACAGTGTTCTTACTCTGAGGGTGGACTATAGATACAGTTTCTCCAGTTTAGCTTTGATTTCATGGTTTAAGATTATTGTAACATTTTGATTATTTCAAGTTACCTTATTCTGTCCTTTATACAGCAACTCTACAAAGTGCACATACAGAGCTTGCCTATAAAACAGTCCAGAAATATACACACTGGAGAATTATAAAATACACACAGATAATTTAACGATGTCCAGTCCATAGTTGGCTAGTAAAGGACTGCACCAAAAAAGACATGTTTTAATGAATGACACCAGTTTAATAAGCCAGTCTTGGACAGAACGATGTGCTTAAATAAGTAAGCTGTAGAAAATATACTGTAAATCTCAGTTCTCTCTATGAAAATTATTCCAAGCAGCATTACGGGGTGTTGTGGCGCCCTCTTGTGGACAGTCCGGTGTATTGTTCAACATCACATCCTGAATGATCAGTGCTAATTACCTCCCTCTGTGTTGTTTAAATGTCAATTTCCCCGTGTTTCTCTTATCTGTGCTGCAGCTCTGGACCTGTTAGACAAGATGTTGACCTTTAACCCTCACAAGAGGATCGAGGTGGAGGAGGCTCTGGCGCACCCCTACCTGGAACAATATTACGACCCTACAGATGAGGTGAGATGATCATCTTGGGCTGTGTGAACCTCTGCTGTATGAACCATTTAGAATGAGGATGGATATCCTACTCTGAGGTTTTTGACATCTGTTCCTTTGTTCCTCAAATTTTAAATAAACAAATTTTGTCCCTGGCCACAGACATGAGATTGGCCTCCCCACCCCTCCTTTTATGGTTCAAGGCACAGTTATTTTAAGTCATTTTGCATCTCTTTGCAGTCATTATCAGCCTCCTAGCAGCTGTTCTGCTCCTCTTTATAGTTGTTTTCCATCTCTTTATAATAATTTGTCCTTATAGTAATTTCCTATTTCTGTGTGATTTTGTCTCTCTGTAGTTTTGCATCTGTTTTTTTTTGTCATTTTGCTTCTCTTTTTAGTCTCTTTGTGTCTCTTTGTGGTTGATTTATTGAATTATTGATACAGTTTAAGAAGAGAATCTGGCACAGGGGCACACAACCTTCTAGGGCCCCTGGACCTGTGTAGACCCATTCGGTAATTTTTCCAACACTGTACATTAACATCATCATGTCTTCTCTGCTGCGCTGTGTAGCCTGTTGCTGAGGCCCCATTCAAGTTTGACATGGAGCTGGATGACCTACCCAAAGAGACACTGAAGGAGCTCATCTTTGAAGAAACTGCACGTTTCCAGCCCGGCTTCAGGTCCTAACATCTCACATAGGTAACACTGCAGTTCAGTAAAGACAGCATAAGGGACAATGTTCAGAAGGACAGGTCCATTAGCTGCACTGAAGTCTCTTAAACAGCCAGTTTTTCAGGGTCAAAAACATGAGGGTGATACTCATTGCAGTCAGATGCTCCCGCCTCCGCTGCTTTAAAAACAGATTTGAGTGTCCATCCTGAAAGCTACTTCAACATAAAGCTGCGAGTCAGTGGTGTTACAGCTGTAAAAACTACGGTCAAATTTAACAACTTGCCACATAAGAGCTAAAGTAAAGTCCTCACACTTGGGTAGAAATTTAAATTTAGCAGAGGCACTTCACCAGGATAAAACCACTTAAAAAAACAAAAAAACAACAAAAAAAAAACATTATTCTGAACTGGCACCATCAAGTACAGTTGTACTTTGTTGCTGTCAGTTTGCATCCAGAGCAAAGCCTGGCACAGTTCTATAGTTGTGATTATATTTAGATAGTTTTAAGCTGTGGCTCAGTCTCTGGAGGCAGGACTAGCAACTAATATGATTAAAGGCATTAAAGTGAGGTTACATACCTTCTTTACAAACTATGACATTAGATGGAAGGACATTTGATTTGAAATCAGATGAATGCAATGGTTTTCTCTTAAGCACTTGACCATCTGTGATATGAAGATTTTTTTTGTCAGAAACATCAAAGTGTCACATTTTATTTCAGAATCTTTGCAGATTTGCAAAGTAAATCTTTATTAAGGGATGTGTCAGTTTTTCTCCACTTTGTATAATTAGCTATTGTCTGTTAGGGAGCTTAATATGTATATGAATCCCATATAAACTATAGGGGAGATACAAGACGAAAGCACCACCTTTTACTTTTACCCTGATTGTGTGAAAACGAATGTATCTTCTTTGATCACATTTCATTTGAGGACACATACACATGTCATCTACCAATATCCATAGATGTGGACAAGTGTACAACCACAAAGTAATCGTACTTTAAATACAAGTCGCACGACTGTACTTCTGTCCCTACTCATTGGGTCAAAAGTACAGTAGTCGTGGGTCGAAAGTACCACCCATCAAAAAGCACAGAAATCCTAAAGTGCTAAAGGTAAACAAAGTTTGTTTCTGTTGTGGAGATGTGTGCAAGGATTGTAATGATCCTCTGCGCTACACTTCTAGTCATTATAACTAGTCTTGGCCAGGCCACACACATTTAATATGACGTTCATGTAGACTAAACCTTTAGGCTAGACTATAGAAGTGACAAACAGCCCAAGTGCATTTTTAATATTCAGTGTCTTCAAAATTCAAGTATCTAGCTAGCTAACATTATCTTGATGTGGTCTAACAACAGCAATGCTTCATTTGCGTTTCGTTACTCAGTAATCTAGGACAGTAATGTGGTGTTACAAGCTGAGCGCAGGGTGGAAAGTCTTTTGCCGCTGCTGCCCCTACTGATCTCTCCTTTAACCTCCACAGCTGCTTGATGGACATGTTTGTGGGTCTTTCACGCTTATATTAGTTTTCCTCATCCTCAGTCTGGGCATACTGTGCAGGCACAACAAATCATGGTAACTTAGCATCCAACAGCTGGCATTGTACTATCACCTCCTGGTGCTCTCCTGCAACTTAGACCCTGCTCTCACAAAATACAACCACAAATAGCAGGTATGGACATTTAACCAACAAACGGGTCTACATGATGTTATGTTTCAGTTTGTAAATGTACGCTCCGAGAAATAAAACCAGAAAAAAGTATCTTCTCCATTTTTTTTGCTTTATACACTTAAAATCACAAAATGCTAAATATCGCCAGATGCATCCAAAACCTCGCATAGATGTTTTTTTAAGGGTTGTTTACATAAATGGAGTGACGGTTTGATGTAAGTTTTGTAACCTTAACTTTTACGGTAACGGAATATGGGTCTGTGGTACAGCCCCCCAAGTACTTTCAACCCGGATTTCCCCTGTTAGTCAGAATTGAAGTGAAGACCTTTTAATCGTATGTTAATCTAAATTCAATATCAGAAGCTTTTCTGCTGTGACAGCAATCGAGTTCTGTGGGGGAAGCTGAGGGAGTTTTTCTTCAGGATGTTGAATGTAAGTACAAAATGTCACTATTTTGTTGCCTTAAAACCTATGTGGAAAACAATGTCCTGTAGGCATATAGCAATTAATCAAACCCTTTTGGAAGCAATATGCAATTTAAAAAAGTGGAATACTTCAGGTGATAACATTATCATTTCCCAAACTAATGACACTCCTCGCACACAGTATCTTTCCCCCCAGTATCTGCAAACAACCAGCTGTTCCCTGACAGGTCTCTTGTTGTGATAATAACTATTAGTGCTACGTTTTATTGCCCATCATCCGCTTTGTGCCAGCGCGTGTAATTACTGTGTTTCCTCTCTGCAGTGGTTCGATGCATAACACGAGTCCACTGAGAAGGAACAGAGTGTGACATCACTTTAATTAGAGCTGCACAAAGCACATCGCTGCTCTCTGCAGTTCGCTTTTGCAGCTTTGACATGTATTTTCACATCTTAATTCATCACTTTATATGTCTGTATTGTCTGTTAAATTTTTTAACTCCATAAATATTAAGAGTTTGCAGCTGTGTTAAGACTGCAATTAATATGTTAACAAGATCATTTCCTCATTACCGGGATCAAAGTAAAAGCCAAAGTTAATCAGAGATTTATCAGATAAAGCCAATATTTAGCACTAATTTGAGAAGTTCTTATGTGCAGACGTGTAACTGAATTTTTAAAGTGTTAAATGGTGTCATCTATTTTTTTTATTATTAAAAGATGTAAGTCGCTGTGGTGTTTCTGCACTGCACTGCACTCATCACCTGCTTGGTGGGGGGGGTGTCACCTGTCCCCGAAACAGTTTGTGGGCGATTACGTTAGAGAACCTGCAGGTGTCGCACTTCTGTTGAGCCACAGTGGTGGGCACAGCTCATGCTAATAATCCTGCACTTATTCTTATTCCATACTAGCAATGTAAAAGTCTTGGTGGATTTCCCTCCGAGAAAGACCAGCCAGACATTAACAGCCCCTTTAAACCCATGACCAGTTTATAGACAACACAGACAGAGGCCGGGGGTGTCCGGATTGTTTTCAACATTACTCTATGCACCACTAATAATACATATTTCATATTCATATTTTGTTTTCTGGATTCTTAAGGTTAACAGAATTTCTTACACAAATCCCCTTTAAAATAGTCCCATGGGCTTTTGAGGCCAATTATGGATATATTGAAATAATATTTTAGAACAATACATATACAAATACACCCCTTTATTAGAAAACAAACTTTTTGTTGTGGTTGGAGGTAGCAGCCTATAACACAACAGTCCCTTAAATTACAACAAATGTCATGACCAAAATTAAGGCATTTTGAAAAACAATCTTGACAAGGGCCTTGTACAGTGCCTGAAGTTGTTTTCAGTGACTGGCTGTTGTGCTTTTGTTAAAGCATTATTATTAATTGATGAACGTTATAATTTAGGTAACTGAAAGGTCTTCACATCATAAGTCGCATTGAAAGTTATTTGGCACGCACTGAGCATTATTGTCAATACAAGTCGTGTTGTGCCGACCTTTCAGATGCCAAAAAACTCGGGGGCCACTTTATTAGCTACGCACAACAGCAGCTCAGCCATAAATTCTACATTTAATGTTCAGTTTCGATTAACATGGTCAGAGATGTGTTCATTCAAATGTACTTATTATTATGGTTGTAGTTTGCAGTGGTGTTGAACTGGATATTAAGGAGTGTTTCGAATATTTTACCCATCCTGTTTACAAACATGAGGGAAGAATATCAAACATTTAATGTAATGCAGTACTGTACCACTTCTCACTACAACCTCAGTATTAAACATATAGTTCAGTCTGTGTTTACCTGTGTAGCCCAGTGGCAAAATCTCAAATTTGCTGTTTAATCTGTACAGCATGATGACACCTTATGTCCTTAGACCTTTGGCTTTACCAAAAAACACAAGGAAGAACCCTCAGGAAAGAGCAACGGACAGATGTGCAATAGATGCTGTTTGTACAGAACAAATCAACATAGCAGGTTTACAGTATGGACATTCAATGACAAAAATTGGATAGTGTAACATATGAAGAGCACTGTATAAATAAATCTGAAGAACACGACCCTGGAGGATGAGCCAACTTCCAGGTTCCTCCTCCACACGACCTCCACTCCAAAGACCTGGTGGGAGGACAGGCTACACAACCACACGAGGCAAAACTCAAAACACATCAGTCACACATATAGAGGAAGGATTCAAATGCATTAGAGCAAGATAAAAGGGAGAACAAGGTTGGAAAGCTGAGTCCCAACAACAAATGTAAAGTCATTCATAAACAGCCAACAACAGAGGGCAGCAGAACAAACCACAATTTATATAAATGTCTATAATTCTGACATTAAATAGCTGATTATATCGTCACTGTTTCTTCTCCCTCCAGATGAATCTGGATTGGCTTCTCCATTGCCACTGCTCCTCCCCGCCTCTACACCGTTTTGTTTTTTGTTTTTGTGTTTTGGCTTTAGTTTTTATTTCCCTCTCCAGTTGCTAACATCACCTGGATTCCTTGGATCTCACTTGTCAAGTCCACTTTGCTCAGGAATGGCGTCAGGAATCAATCAGTCATATGGTCTCTCTCTTTTTTTTCTCTCTCTCTCTCTCTCTCTCTGAGGTGAGGAGTGAGGGCTGAGGAGTGAGTTTTAAGCCAAGATAAACAACTGTTTGTGTGTCTCAAAGGCATTTGGTTCTGGCTGTTCCTATTCAAGACCTTTTAATGTCCAGTCAGATGACTGGACAGCTAGCTGTTGTGTTTTTTGGTGCAGCTGTTGTGGTGATAACTCTTGTCTACATTGCACAAACAATGGTAGATTACATATAAGAATCATCCAGCATTTAAAACAAAAAGGTCTTGAATTTTTTTTTTTATCTTTGTTGCACTGTTATGAGGGATACCAAGATTTGTCTGTTTTCTCTCTGTATATCTTTGAACAAAAGAAAAGCCTGAATTAAATCTTAAATGGGGAAAAAAAACAAAACAGATTTATGCAATGAAGTCACATAATCAGCCAGAGAGGCCACAAGCCATCACTTGGTGTTGAGGATCTATATTTTATTAAAGACCCTGTATTTTAATCTTCAGCATGCGCGCGTGCGCACACACACACACACACACACACACACACACGGCCCAAATGCAAATACTGAAATATGAATATATACATCTATAAATATAGTCTAAAGAGTCTTAAGATATTTTAATGACAAGAGTGATGAAGGAAGGTGAATTAGATGAGTTTATAGCCTTTTTGTTTTTCTTAAAAACAAAAGAAAATGCCCGTTTTCACTTCTCATCAGCTTCAGTAAGATGTTAGTTTGTATAGGAATGCACCAAATTGCAGGTGCGGCAAAAAGGATTCATAATCACTTTCTGCCTAAGCCATGGGAGACTAACGGAAAAGTCTGTCTGGTTCATACAGCTCTGTATGCACATTATCATAGTGTCAGACAGGGGGAAATTTACCACTTTACGACAAGAATTCAGTTATCACGCAGAACTTGTTTTGTCTGAAGGAAGTGTTGTTGTGCCTCCCTTTTCTTCCTGTTCCGTGTTTTCTCTTTTCTTCTCCAGTCTCTGTTAACCTCTCTCTCTCTCGCCTTGTTAGAAGAATACTGTGCCCTTTGCATGACTGTTATAAGCTCTGCATACAAAGACGATGATGTTAAGTGCCACACAAGCCGGGCAGATCCACAGGGAGAGTGCCCAGGCTCCTTCTGTTTTACCGGTACCTTCTGTGGTATGTCACACTTCTTAATCCCATGGTGCTTTCTGCCCTCTTTCTTTCCTTTGTTTCAGCCTTCTCTTCATCTGTTTTTTTTGTTGTTTATTTCTACTAATTAAAATCTCCTCATTTTTAGCCAAACTCCATCTGCATGGTAGGACATCTAGTTGTGGTTGCAAACAGGAGAACAACCATATATCTGTATTTATACCAATCACAAAAAAAAAAAACCAAAAAAAAACACCCTGTTTTTTAAACCCCAGAAAAGGGATCCAGACATGATACAGTTGAAATAATGCTCAAACGCATCAGATTATGCGTTCCATTTGGTCCTAACTTTCTTTCTTTTTTTTTTTTTTGCTTTAAATTGCACATTAGTTGTCAGAGTCTGTACCAGCAGACAACTGCACTGCTTGTCAGTAGCTGCAGATTTAAAGGCTGCCGAATATGAAGATGGTATTTCCAGGGAAAGGAATTGTATCTGTATCTGCTCTTAGCCTGGGTAGATTACAATACTGCAAATTCAGAAGAAAAGCTTGTATTAATACTAATGTGTTAGCAACCCACAGTAGTATTACTACAAGACAAAGTAGATCAAAGTCCAAATCTACCTGAATGGATTCTTTTAGAGTCTGATTCTGCTGGCACTTACAGTATGAAGTTTGATTTTAAAATCTATAAAAGAAGCTAAACTCAACTTGTGATTTTTATTCTAGTGTTACATCCATGTCAGAAAAGCAAGTTTGAGTCATACAAACTGTTTCGGAAAGCAGAGCAACCACAGTTTCACTTCGGTCCTGGCTAAATAATATTAGCCTGAGTGGATTTGTAGGGGCCAGGAGAGGTTGGTGCTCTGTTGAAATGATGTCAAGCCATAATCAGTCAGTGTATTCAGTGTACTGATGCACCTCGAGTACACGTCCTGCATGACTGCAGCCAGGTGAGATGTTTAGCCAACAAACTACTTTCTTCATTGTTTAATCAGCTATTTTCACCGTGTATTCGTTTGGTTTGAGGGGGGAAAAAAAAGCCAGAAGATTATGAAAATGCCCATCACAAGTTTCCAGAGCTTCATCTTAATTCTTTGTATTAATATTAAGAATTCATCATTTAGAGAAGCTTTGAACATCAAAACATACTTTGATAAATTATTAAAATAATGGACTAGTTTTCATAATTTCTGGAGATTAATCCACTAATTGTTGCATCCTTAATGTTAAATTGGACGAAGGAATTCTAATTAATTGCTAAGACCACATAAGTGCACAGCAGGGCAGATGAATGTGCACAAATGTGCACATTGTCTGCAAGAAGGCATACAATTCTAAATGTACCAGAAAAAAAGGTTTTCTATAGTTAATGAAGTTTAAATGTGAGTTGGTCAGTTGAAATAAATTCCTCAGAAAATCAGCAAATGTTTCTAAATTTAACACATTCAACTTAAATGTTTAAAACTTGGTCCATAGTCCATATAATCATTACAAAAGTACATTTTATCAGAAACAAATCTAAAAAGTCTTTTTTGTGTGTGCGCGTCCTTTAAAAAAATGGTTTTGTTGGTTCCGTCCACACACAGTTAATTTATTGGATGACGGTTTTAAAACATTTTGACCAAAACACCGCTGCAGAAATGAAAAATGACAGCTTTTGCACTTGCAAACCGACGCGGACGTGAGGTTACGGCTTGTCTGTCCCAGTGCCCCTCACACTCACTGTACGCACTTGTCTGTCACTCGGTTATTAAATGCACTTGCTTCTACATTAATCGGAATGGGACTTGTAATCCAAGGTGCCTGCCGGGACTTGACTTGCCTGTAGATAGTCTTTTTGTGGGGTGGGGTGGTTTAGTAAGAAGATTAAGGGCACTGGAAACCTTACTCGGATTAGTTGTATAAAAAAAAGCTTCTGCTGAGTTCTTTGTGCAACCTGTCTGTTTGTGCCTTTTTTGATAGTCTTGATATCCAAGATTTGATGTGCAGCTTTTGTTTAGTCGGGAATCTGTTGTACTCACAGTGTATGCTCTTAAAAGTGAACACAATCAAGGCTGGGTGGGTGGGAGGGATCACGGGTGGGTATCTTTAAATTTCAATTATGTAAATTTTAAAGAGATTTGTTGCCACAGTTGTGTGATTTGTGACTGTATTGAAAAGATGAACAGCAAACTTTTCTATTTTTTGCGTTATCCTTTTATTTTGAGCTTTTTTTCCCCCCCTTTTTTGATGATTTTGTGCAGATATTTTTATTGTAAAATGAATGTTACATTTCTATCAGACACTAATCTTGTTTGAGTTGTCTCCAGTGGAACTACTTCACTTTGTATGTTTTGGTCAATATAAATCTTTACAGTAATTGTGTAGTTAACATTTCTGAAAGAGAAAAAAAAAAATCATCGGTTGTACTTTCAGTTTGACCCGCCATAGATTGTTTCATTTGATTGGGCAGTTTTATTTTGCTGTCGTGTGAAGGATTTGACTTGAACAAAGCATTTATTTGCTGTTATTAAAGACTTACTGCCTCTTTGCAGATTTTTTTTTTTTTTTTTTTTTGCCATGAAATTTGAATAGACGTTCATTAAAAACACTGTACTTTCCTTAACATTTCTGTGAAGTCTCTTTGTGAGTCAGATTTCAACTGGCATGTTCACAACAGGAAGGTTAAAGACAACTTCTTTAACTGCTGTACGCATCTATTGTTACACACAACTGCAAAATAAAAGTCTCGGAGTAACAGCATATACAGTTAAATGTGTTTAATGAGAAAAATCTTAAGAATGCTATTACAGTTGGGCATTTTACAGAAAAAAATGAATTATACTCAGAATATTTTTGTAAATACGGTGTATAAAACTGACGTCTGGGGGAAAGGGTGCGAAATTTGTCTTGTGAAAGTATGAGATCAACACCCACATTCTGTGTTCTTTTTATTGTAATGTAATATATGTTGTAGTTATACACTAAGTGGCTATTACTTTGTGTGGGAGAAAATCTTTGCTTTGAAATGCCCAGCTGTTGCTCCCTAGTTTCCCAAAGCCTTGTTTTATTCCACTGTACAGTTTAAGTATCAATATGGACAGGTTGTTTCTTTTGTTAGCACCTGATTCATACAAGAAATGTGCACTCGTAAATTGCAGACTGTTTTATTATAAAGGACAGCAGGTATTGAGATACCTTCACTCTTTGTATACTTTCTTGTAATTTTAAATAGCAAACATTGTCATTTTATCTCGTCAGTCTACACTCAAGTGACTCATAATGACAAAGTGCAAATATATTTTAGACATTTTTTTCAAATGTATTATCAAAAACTGAAATCTCTCATTTACAAAAAGTATTCAGATCCTGTGGCACACTAGGCTGTGGTCAGGAGCATCAACTAACTTAGGCACACTATTGATTGGACACTTTAGAAAGCCATGTCTGTGGAATTAAGGTTCCACAGTTCACACTGTATGTCAGGACATAAACCAAGACATGAAGCCCAAGCAACTCTTTTTGTAGACCTATGCTTCTTCAACCACGTGCTTGTACTGCTGCCACGCATGCGCAACAAGTATTGATTTGTCGGCCGTGCGCACTTCCAAAAACAACCCTCGTCCACGGGAGCGCGGCTGGCTGTCCTGGAGATCATTGGTTGTTCACTTCAAGCCCCACCCTTCCTCGCAGTGGATTGGTCAGACAGAGGTTATTCTTCTCACTGATAGGACGCTATTTGTAGCACGGGCTGTGTAGCTAGGCTCCTGCTGCCTTCATGTACCTCTCCAAAGATCATATTTCAGATGACGACAGTGCTTTTATTTGTTTTGGTCGAGAGTAGTCGATTAGCAGACTTTTTTCTTCAAGACTTTCTCCATAATATAAAGTCTGAACAAAGAAAGTAAAACACAGAGAGGTGATGGTTATTTATTTAAATAGGCCTACACATAGGCTAAATCACATAATGGCAAAATGTGTTTAAAGTTCCCAAACTCAATCTAAAGCCTAAAATACAATCGCACTCAGGAAATCAATATTGTTCAATCCTGATTTTTTTTCTCTTCAAAATAAAAGAAATCGCAACACAACAGCTGAGCAACTCTATCCACAGAGAAAGACTAATGTGGTAAAAAGCTGCTTTGGGGGGTGGGGTTAAGTCTTCTTTATTTAGTTTATTTACAATAGTCTTAAATGTTTAATGTCTGGCTGACTTCTTTTTTAAGTTGTCTTGATGTTAAATTCGAAGTTGAACTTGTCATGACATGTTCCACGTTTTCTCTTGTGCGCTCAATTCCTGAAACTCGAATGTCCCGCAGCACTTAAAGACAGCACCGGTAGATGGAACAAAACGCCGTTTCTCACCGCAGCCAGCTAACGCACCCATGTGTCAATACAAGCAATATATAGGCCGTTGTATTTGACAGATCGGGTGTCCTGAACGTGTTCGTCCGTTTTTTCAAAGCGCGCTGCGGATCACCAGATCACATTGGGATTTCAGTGTACTGTTAAGTAGGGCTGCAGACAGGACAGCACGGCCTGTCCTGCCGCCGATGTCGGAGAGCTAAAGTCAAAGAGGTTGAAACTCCTTCAAAAAGCTGCAAGCTGCTTCACCATGCACACACTGTGACCCACCTCACGGATGGGACTCTACTCAAACCGGACCTACGGAGATATCCCGCACATCTCACAGTTTAGCGCAGAGTCATTGGCTCATAAATGCAGTGAAGATCCACCGAGGAGACTGATGTTTTGGGAGATTTTTAATGGCTCACGCTGCTGGTACTGCCTTTATGGCACGGTGAAGATCTCTTTATTGGTTTATTTTTACTAATACCCAGACTCCTGCAGCTCCATCGGAAAAACCGATTTCTTCAGCGGTTTGTTTTGGTTTCCGAGAGGGCGGGAAGGCGAAGCGTTTTTTGGGGTGAGTGCAGAGCTAAGTGACTTTCTGGAGGAAACACGTGTATTTGTCAGAAAACACTGCTGTAATATCCCCCTAGAGACTTTAAAGTGTGTGTCTGTGTAATGTAACCAAGTTATCATACTTTATTTCTTTTCTGCAGCACCAAGGGATTTATATTTTATTATAACCATCTTTATTTATCAGGCTTGTATTTTAGACTGCATACACAAATGTATGCAATGCATCAAACTAATTTAAAATATTCCTCTTGAAGCTTGGTGTTGAATTAATGTGTGGGTTTGTGGTATTTTTATGCTCACAGTTTCTTTATGATGACATTTCTGCATAACTCTGAAATACGTCGTGCAGCGAGGTTCCCCTGGAGGGCGAACCCCCCGTCGTGCAGCTCCAGGCGCCTGATAATACATCCTTTATGTCTGCCGATCT